TGAAATAATAATGCTTATTCACCATCGTTGTTGCATTTGTTGCAACATTATTAGCATCATCATTATTATTATTATATTATATATTTATAATTTCTAGAGCTATTATCACAATCATTTCCGTTGTGATACATTACATTTTTTTTTTATTAATATTACTATTATTACCACAGTGTTTTTTTATCATATATTTGAAAGTTATGTTTCACTTACATGGTTGTTATTATTATCTTTTTTAAAATATATATATATAATTTTCTTTTTTCACCAATATCGCTGCGTTCTTCATTATCAACGTCATTATCATTACCATTCTATTTTTCAGTAATTAATCGGTATTATATTTTTCTTCAGTGTTTATCATTCTATTTTTGTAACTTTTTTTACCTTTTATTATTATTTTCAGTGCCATTATCAATATTAGCTTTATCATCATTATGATTATTGTTGATATATTTTATTATTATTATTATTATTATTATTATTATTATTATTATCATTATTATTATTATTATTATTATTATCATTATTATTATTATTATTATTATTATTATTATTATTATTATTATCATTATTGTTATTATGGTTATCATTATTGTTATTAATATTATTATTATGGTTTTCATCAATGTTATTATTATCATTATTGTTATTACTATTATCATTATTACTATTATTATTATCAGTATTTTTTATTGTCATTACTATGATTACTTTTTATAATTATACTATTGTTATTGCTCTCATCATCAATATCATTATTATCTTTATTATTATTATTATTATTATAATTATTATCATTATTATTGTTATAATAATCATTATATTATTATTGTTATGATAATTACTATAATTGTTATTATTCTTATCACCCTTGTTATTGCAATTACTAGTATCACACTTGTAATTATTATTATGATTATTATTGTTATTATTATCGTTGTTATCATTATTGTTATTATTTATATTATTGCTACTATCATTATTTTTATTGTTACCACATTACTGTTATTGTTATCAATATTATCATCATTATTATCTTCATTCTCATTTTTATCATTTATTATTATTATCATTATTGTCATTATCACTAATCGTCATTCTTATCCTCATTATCGTCGTTGTTGTTATTATCAACATTACATTATCATTATCACCGTTAATGTTGCTATTATAATTATTATTGTTGATAGTAGTATTATAATTATCACTATTATTAGTATTGTTATCTTTGTCGTTGTCATTATTTGTATTATCATTATTATTTTACTTACAAAATTGTTATTAGTGATAGTGTATTAGTATTAATATTAGTATTTTTGTTGTTGTTGTTGTTGCTATCATTATTAATATCACTTCTGTTATCAATGCTGTCATCATAATTATCATCATCAGTGTCTTTTTTACTATAACTGGTATTGTTGTTATCATTTGGAAATATTTATCTTTTTTTTCTATTAAGAATGTATTAACAATTTACCATTATTACTGTATTTACTTCCTTATCATTATTATCATCATTGTTATTTCCTATCCATTTTTATTATGATTAAGAATATAAATATTTTTTTTCCCTATATCATTAGTTACCAAACCTTGATCGTGGAAATTAGCATATTAATAAATACATTTTTTTTATCTTAGGCTCATAATTCGCATTAAGAATTTCCGATAAGAGAGTTAATTTTCTTTTTTTTCATTTTTCTTCGTATCGTCATTTTTATTCGTTATTTGTTTTTCTTTTTTCTTGTATTTATTGTTTTTTTCTTTCTTTCTTTTCTTTTTTTTTTCTTTTTTGGGGGATGTTTATTTAATATAAGAAATTTGAAAGGATGTTGAGAAAGGGTATTTTTGTTTTTGCTTTTAATTTGTTTTATTTTATTTACCTATTTTTTCGTGTTTTCTTTTTTTTATTGAAGGTTTTGGTGTAATTATTTTTCTCTCTTTCTTTCTTTCTTTCTTTCTTCCTTTTTTTTTTTTTTTTTTTTTTTGTCCTGGGAAAAAATGCGATATTTTCTCTTTGTGATTTCTTCTCCTTCTTATTATTATTATTATTATCTAGTCTCTCTTTTCATTCTTTCTTTCTTTCCTTTTTTTTTGAGGGGGGAGGGGAGGGAGGAAATTACAAATCATAGGAACAGAAGAAATTCAGATAATTAGCTTATTAATAAACACACTGGTTTCTTGTTTTCTTTGCTTCGTGCTTTCTTTCGTCTATTTAATAATTTCCTAAAAATATTGAATGGAATAAGAAAAAAAAAATAGGAGAATAATTTTTTTTATTCGTTTTTAAAATTAATTACACCCATTATACCATTATTATCGAAAATTTGCGTTTTATATTTTTCATTCTCAAAAAAATAATAATAATAAAATTGTCTTCATCATGTTATCCTGTTTCTTCTTCTCCGCAGCACAAAGAAAGAAATGGAGTCAAAGAAAAAGGCAAGAAAGAGGGAGAAAGCGAAGGAGAAGAGAAAATGGAAAATATTTCTTCGTATAG